TAGCCCCACCCTGGGAGTATGCCCTCTCTGCACCTGTTTTCTAGTCTCTCCCTGCTGCACCCCACCCAGGCAGGTACTACTCAGACATACCCTTTACTCATAGGACCTGTGTTTCCATCCCAGTTCTGTTCCGCCAGTGGCTGCCACCGGAGAAGATGCCCAGCTTTCTCTGGTTGCCCAAAGAGGCAGAGAATGTCTCTCTAAAATATCCGCAGGGGTGTGAGCTGTATTATTCCCGCTGCTGCTACTCTGTGCTGTGGAGCACTGCCTCTCCCTCTCCCGAACGGTTCCCTCAGTCCACAGTCTTCTCCTTTCACCTGTGCTGCAGAATCATCACAGACCTGCAACAGCCCAGGTCTTGTCCACACCTCTCGAGAAAATGCCCAAGAATCTGGACTCCATGGGGGACAGGCTTTCAGACCTCAGAGTGAAAGTGTAGGGGTGTACTGGAAGTTAAGAATTGCAGGTAGAGAATATATACAGTTTCATACAGTTTTATGCCTGGTGGGAGAGTGCCATGGCACACTAGGGAAGGAGTTCTGGTTTTTAGAGAGTATCTTCCATGGGATAAAATAGGAGGAGATCTGAACTCTGCTCACTTGTTTATAGAAAGTATACTTCAGGATGGTGCCTGTGGCTCAGTGAGTAGGGCACCAACCCCATATACCAAGGGTGGCAGGTTTGAACCCAGCCCCGGCTAAACTGCAACAACAAGAAAAAAAATAGCAGGCTTTGTGGTAGGCTCCTGTAGTCCCAGCTACTCAGGAGGCTGAGGCAAGAGAATTGCCTAAGCCCAAGAGCTGGAGGTTGCTGTGAGCTGTGACGCCACGGTACTCTATCAAGGGCAATAAAGTGAGACTCTGTCTCTTAAAAAAAAAAAAAAGAAAGAAAGAAAGTATACTTCAGGCAGTGCCTGTGGCTCGAAGGAGTAAGGTGCTAGCCCCATATGCTGGAGATGATGGGTTCAAACCCAGCCCTGGCCAAAAAAAAAGTATAACTTCAAGCTGTTCTCATGGGAGAGGGGACTCCCATCTGCTTAGCAATGGATTTCGTACCTATTGTTTGTTTTCTTGGGGTCACAGCTTGCCTCAGCCAGGTAGATGTGCGTTCTTCAACCTTCTGTCTTGGGTCAGCTCCAAACCATCACCTTACTTGCTAAACTTCTGTCCTTTAACTCTCCTTCTGTGAGAGTCTCTGTGGAAAGCTGGCTACAGTTGGCCATCTTGCCTCTGCCCCTCCCCCTTTTTCATTCCACATCATAGGGAACCCCACCATGCTTCAACAGCTACCTAACCCAGAAACCAGGGCACAACAAATTTTCCAATTCATCAACCCCGAACGTAACACAGATTTTACTTCCTAAGAAGGTTATGACTTTTTTTTTTTGACCGGGGCTGGGTTTGAACCCACCATCTCCAGCATATGGGGCTGGCGCCTTAGCCTTGCTCTAGTTAAGGCCACTGCATCTCTGGTTTCCTAAAACAGCCTCCTAGCTGTTTCCCTATCTTCAATCTTATCCCCATTAAATACATCCTGCACATTGTGAAACCAGAGTGATCATTCTGAGAAATTCAAAATTGGTCACCCACTGCCCTGTGGCAAACCCCTTAGAGATTGCCCTTTTCCCTAAGGGTAAGTTCACACTCTTAAATGGTTGGCAAGGCCTGGCAAGATCAGGCCCCTGCCGTCTTTCCTGCCGTTATTTTTCACTATTCCTTCCAATAGCTCCATGCTCCAGCCACTCTGAACTTAAGTTCCTCAAATTTCATCTTTGGCTTTGCTATTTCTGTGCTATTTCTCTACCCTTTTTTCTATTTCTGACTCTCTCTGCTATATCTTTCAGATCTTGACAGCTAGAGGCAATACATCTTTATCTGAGAACTGGCCTGTGTCCAAGCCCACCTACCATGTTTCCCCGAAAATAAGACACTGTCTTATATGTATTTTTTCTCAAGAAAACACACTAGGGCTTATTTTCAGGGCATGTCTTATTTTCAGGGCATGTCTTATTTTCAGGGCGGAAATGAATGGTGTGGCTATGCAGATACATGGCATAGCCACGCTCATCATTAGGTCTTATTATTGGGGTAGGGCTTATATTTAACAAATGCATAGAAATCCTGCTAGGGCTTATTCTGGGGGTAGGTCTTATTTTCAGGGAAACACGGTATGTTCTCTCACAGCCTGAGCCTTCCCCCTTGGGCACTTACCTGTTCCTGTTTGTTTTTTGCAGGCAGACAAGTTGCTAAAAGCCTTAAAAGCCCACCTTAAACAAGAAGCAAGAAAAGAAAATGATAATCAGGTGAGTAATGTTTTTCCATCACCCATAAGCTAGCAAAACAATTATATTTAGGTAATGAACAATTAACACACAATTAGTGATGATTTAAGACATGCTGAGTTGGGCCTCATGGCTCACTCCTGCAATCCTAATACTCTGGGAGGCCAAGTTGGGAGGACCTGGAGTTCCACACCAGCTTGAGCAAGAGACAGACCCCTGTCTCCATTAAAAGGAGAAAAATTAGCCAGGCATGGTGGTACACACCTATAGTCCCAGCTACACAGGAGGCTGAGGCAGGAGTTTCAGCTGCAAAGTTCAAGGTTGCAGTGTGCTATAATAACCATACTCTAGCCTACGCAACAAAAATGAGACTGTTGCAAAAAAAACCTATGTTATTTATTACCAAAGAGATCATTCATAATAACTATTTGTTGCAAATGGTGAAACCGCCTTGGATAAGATGTTCTTAAACAAATGCAAAGGCTAAGTACTAGTTGCCAAATGTAATGAAAGATGGCATGATATGAATGAGTAGGGAAGGAACTAGATTTGAAGTCAGAAAGACTGAAGTTCGGCTTGGCATCTATAGCTCATGTGGCTAGGGCACCAGCCACATATACCAGAGCTGGCAGGTTTGAATCCAGCCTGGACCAAAAAATAGCTGGGCGTTGTGGCAGGTGCCTATAGCCCCACCTACTTGGGAGGCTGAGGCAACAGAATCACTTAAGTCCAAGAGTTTGAGGTTGCTGTGAGCTGTGATACCAACAGCACTCTACCAAGGGTAATTGCAGTTAGACTCTGGTCTGAAAAAATTTAATCAAATACAGGATTCCTAAGTGGTGAATCTGTTAGTAATGAGCTTAGATGAGTGATAAAACATCAGTTGTGTAGATCAAAGAAGCAGCCAGGCACGCCTATGATCCTAGCACTCTGGGAGGCCAAGGTAGGTTGCTTGAGCTCAGGATTTCCAGACCAGCCTCAGCAAGAGCAAACCCCATCTCTATTAAAAATAGAAAAAACTAGCTGGGTATAGTAGTGGGTGCCTATAGTCTCAGCTACTCAGTAGGAGGCTTAGGCAAGAAGATTGCTTAAGCCCAAGAGTTTGAAGTTGCTGCAAGCTATGTTTTATTATGTATTTAACATATTTATTTAGAGATAGAGTCTCATTCTGTGACCCTGGGTAGAGTGCTGTGCAATCATATCTTACAGCAACCTCAAATTTCTGGCCTCAAAGCTATCACCTTGTCTCAGCTTCCCAAGTAGTTGAAACTACAGACACCCATCACACTGCCTGGCTGTTTTTACAGACAGGTCTTACTCCTGCTCAGGCTGGTCTCAAACTCCTGAAGCTCAAGTAATCCATTCACCTTGGCTTCCCAAAGTGAGCCACCACACCCAGCTTGCTATGAGCTATGATGACTCTTACTCAAAGTAAGACTCTGTCTCAAAAAAAAATACAGAAGCAAGACAGCAGGGTCCAAATACCGTGTTTCCCCAAAAATAAGACCTACCCAAAAAATAAGCCCTAGCAGGATTTCTATGCATTTGTTAAATATAAGCCCTACCCCAATAATAAGACCTAGTGATGGGCGTGGCTATGCAACATATCTGCATAGCCACGCCATGCATTTCTGTGTGGAGAGGAAGACATGCCCTGAATATAAGCCCTAGTGTGTTTTCTCAAGAACAAATAAATATAAGACAGTGTCTTATTTTCGGGGAAACACGGTACATGGCAAAGGTTACTTATATATCACCAGTGAACTTAATCAGTGATATCACTTCTGGAACTTAATTAAGCCTTACAAATAGTAAGGGTGGGCAGAGAACAAATTGTTTTTCATTATAATCTCTTTAGTGTTTGATTTCTTTTTTTTTTTTTTGCAGTTTTTGATCAGGGCTGAGTTTGAACCCACCACCTCTGGCATATGGAGCTGGTGTCCTACTCCTTTGAGCCACAGGTGCCGCCCCAATTTTTTTTTTTTTTTTTTTTATTAGCCATATGTGTGTACTAGTTTATTAGAACTTATGACAAGATACAAAAACATCAAAACCAAATCAAGCCATTCTTTTATAGTTTCTAGGTAAGAGAATATGCCTTCCTCCTTCCTTAATGATAATATATCCATGTATATTTTTTCTAGTGCTTTTATACTTTCATTTTTTACTCTTTACATGTAAATCTTTAATCCTTCCAGGTTTCACTTTGGTATGAAAAAACAGTCGATTCTTCTGTCCAAAAATATTAAAAACATTGTTAGTTTTCCCTGCATTGTGTTCAAAAATAAATCCAATCTTCCCCAGTAATATGAAGGCAATCATTACCATTGATTTCCTTTTCTTTTTCTTTCATTTTTTTTGAGACCAAGTCTCACTTTCTTGCCCTGGTTCGAGTGCCATGTTGTCATAGCTCATAACAACCTCAAACTTGGGACAGTGCCCGTAGCACAGTGGTTATGGTGCTGACCACATGCACCAAGGGTGTCAGGCTCAAACCCAGCCCAGGCCAGCTGAACATCAATGACTACTGCCAACAAAAAAAATAACTGGGCATTGTGGCGGGCACCTAATAGTCCCAGCTACTTGGGAGGATGAGGGAAGAGAATCGCTTAAGCCCAAAAGAGTTTGAGGTTGCTGTGCGCTGTGACACCATGGCACTCTACCAAGGGTGAGACTCTGTCTCAAAAAAAAAAATACAACAACAACAAAACCCAACCTCTTGCTCACTTCGGCAGCACATATACTGAAATTAGAACAATACAGAAAAGATTAGAATGACCCCTGCACAAGGATGACATACAAATTTGTGAAGTGTTTCATATTTAAAAAAAAAAAAAACCTCAAACTCTCAGGCTCAAGCTATTCTCTTGCCTTAGCCTCCCCAGTAGCTGGGACCTCAGGCACCCACCACAGCGCCCAGCTTTTTTTTTCTTTTTTCTTTTTTTTTTTTTTGTAGAGATAGAGTCTCACTTTATCACCCTCTCTAGCGAGGGTGTCATAGCAACCTCCAACTCCTGGGCTTAGGCGATTCTCTTGCCTCAGTCTCCTGAGTAGCTGGGACCACAGGTGCCCACCACAACAGCCCAGCTATTTTTTTGTTGCAGTTCAGTTGGGACCGGGTTTAACCCGCCACCCTTGGTATATGGGGTCGGTGCCCTACCCATTGAGCCACAGGCACAGCCCAGCCTTGCTATTTTTTTAGAGATGAGATCTCACTCTGGCTCAGGGCAGTTTCAAACTCATGATCTCAGGTAATCTATCCACTTTGGCCTCCCAGAGTGTTAGGATTATAGGAGAGAGCCACCACACCCAGCAGTGCAATGATTTCTTGCATAAGCAGGGGTATTATAAATATTATGGAACTTGACTACACTGTTTTCATATTACAGCATTTCACTTTTAGTTTATGATAATTCAAATGCTTTGCTCCTTCATTATTTTTACCTTTGATAAGTTACTCTGGGCTCTCAGAGGTTTAGTTTCCTCATCTGTAACCTTGAGATAATAACAATACCTATCTCATAGGCTTTGAGATAACCCATGTAAATACTTAGCCCAATAAAGTTGTAATACTAGCTATAATTATTATTAGCAATAACACAGTATTTGGTACACAGTGAATATTCAGTAAATTATTATTATTTTTTTTTTGAGACAGTCTCTATTGCCCAAGCTAGAATGCTGAGGAGTCAGCCTAGCTCACAGCAACGTCAAACTCCTGAGACCAAGGGATCCTCCTGCCTCTGTCTGCCAAGTAGCTAGGAATACAGGAACCCATCACAATGCCCAGCTAATTTTTCAATTTTTAATAGAGATGGGGTCTCACTCTTGCTCAGGCTCTAAGGTTCAAGAGATCTCCTGCTTTGGCCTCCCAGAGCACTAGGATCACAGGTGTGAACCACCACATCTGGCGTAATTAATGCACTTTTAATAATTTTCTCAATTTATTCTTACTAAGATAATTTGGAACATTTTTCTAGCTTACTTCATTATCTCAGGTTATTAAATGTGATTGTTTCTTTTTAAATACGCTAATTCTTGTCCTTGCCTATAATTTATTGCTAGAGAGGCTGGGTGTGGTGGCTCATGCCTATATTCCTTGCACTCTGGGCGAACAAGGTGGGTGGATTCCTTGAGCTCACAAGTTCAAGACCAGCCTGAGCAAGAGTGAGACCCCCATCTCTGCTAAAAATATAAAAAAAGAGGCAAGAGGATCACTTGAGTCCAAGAGTTGGAGGTTACTGTGAGCTATGATGACACTATGACACTCTACCCAGCGTGATAGCTTCAGACTTTGTCTCAAAAATAAAAAAATTATTGCTAGAGTTTAAAAGATAAAAAATTATCTTTGGCTCGGCGCCTGTGGCTCAAGCGGCTAAGGCGCCAGCCACATACACCTAAGGTGGCGGGTTCGAATCCCCAGCCCGGGCCCGCCAAACAACAATGATGGCTGCAACCAAAAAATGGCCAGGCGTTGTGGTGGGCGCCTGTGGTCCCAGCTACTTGGGAGGCTGAGGCAGGAGACTCGCTTGAGCCTAGGAGTTAGAGGTTGCTGTGAGTGTGATGCCATGGCACTCTACCCAGGGGGATAGCTTGAGGCTCCGTCTCAAAAAAAAAAAAACAAAAAAAATTATCTTTTTGCATATGTCATATGTTTTTATTGAGTTCTGATTGTCCCTAGCATTATATCTCTGTACATCGGACATGGAAAATTAATGTTTCTTTTTTTCAGGATGAAAGTCAAACTTCTGCATCCTCTTGTGATGAGACTGAGATACAGATTAACAATCAGGAACACGGTGACAGAGAGCCAGTTGCCCATGTCACCAAAACAAGGAGAAGACACAAGATAGTCCATGGGAACCCTGACTTCCAGGTGAATGGAAGTATACAAACTGAAAATAAGCTACCACCTGTTCAACACCAGGATGTTCTTAGGGAACATCCTTTTTAAATTCTGTTATGGTGTCAGATGGTTGTAAGTTCACTGTACTTATAAGCTCCACGAAGGCCCACGCCCAAGTCTAGCTGCTCAGTGCATCTGGGGCCAGGGACTCAAGAAGCACTTCTTAAGTATTAAGCACAGATTAAGCATTTGAATAAATAGCATATTTCATTAAGTATTTTCTTAAATGAGGTGTAGTGAATAAGAAAAAAAAGAGAAACCAACATTGAATATGATTTTAGTTTTGTTTTTTTTTGTTTTTTTTTAGACAGAGTCTCACTATGTTGCCTGTGGTAGAGTGCTGTGACATTACAGCTCACAGCAACTTCAAACTCTTGGGCTTAAGCGATTCTCTTGCCTCAGCCTCCCAAGTAGATAGGGACTACAGGCACCTGCCACAACACCCAGCTATTTGTTGTTGTCATCATTTAGCAGGCTCAGGCCGGGTTTGAACCTGACAGCCCCGGTGTATGTGGCTGGCACCGCACTGAGCCTTGAATTTGATTTTTTCATTTAATTCTCTTTCCTAACTCGCCTCTGGCCTGGTGATAACCTTGTAGTCTTTCAGCACTGTGGTCATATGATTAGCGAAGGGCTTCCCTCACTTGCTTTAATTAGATTCTGATTTTATTATTCTACTTTATCCTTCCATACTAGTTAACTTTTACTAAACACAGTCTGAATTTTTTGATCAGTAGACTATATGTGTCTATTAATGTTAGTTTATCATCCCTAAGAAAGCTGATTTTACCATTTCTTATATGCTTTCCAATGTTCCCGGGTGTCTCTTATTCCCAAATTTACATTTTCATGATACTTGGTGGAGCAAGACCCAAGTCCATTGCTCAGAAGTCTCAATCTCCTACTTTTATTACTTTTTTTTGAGACAGAATCTCACTTAGAACAAAAGAAATTGATTTATGTCTGTTGCTCTCCATTAAGTGCTGTTCGCATCACAGCTCACAGCAACCTCAAACTCTTGGGCTTAAGAGATTCTCTTGCCTTAGCCTCCCAAGTAGGTGGGACTACAGGCGCCTGCTGCAATGCCTGGCTATTTTTTGTTGTTGTTGTTGTTGTTGTTGTCATTTAGCAGGCCCAGTCCTAATCAGCCAGTGCCCTAATCAGTGAGCCAGGGGCACCAAGCCCCTACTTTTATTCCTTTAAGCTCTTCCCCTTTCATTTTGGTACAGTATTGGGAATGCAGTGATTAATTTGCATTTAAGTCTTTTATTTCCTTTTAAAATTGGCAGGACCATTCAGAGATCCAAGTAAGTGATTACACCGAATTGCAAAATCATGAAAAGCAGGAAAACCAACATCTCAGTGCTACTGTAAAAGTTCCTTCTCCATCAGATGAGAGCCAAGGAGCTGAAAACACAGTTTCCTCTGGAAGAAGCAGAATAAATGGTATGCCAAGTAATTTTAAAAAGAAAAACATTGCTAGTTACGTCCATGTAAATTAGTTCCCTAGGACCTCTATAACAAGATACCATGAACATGGTAGCTTAGAACAAAAGAAATTGATTCTCTCATTTCTACAGGCTAGAAGTCCAATCAGGGTGTCAGTAGAGCTATGCTTCTGTAAGACTTGGGTAGAATCCTTCCTTTCTTTCCCTGATTTGTGGTGATTATCTATGCCTGGTATTCCTTGGCTTGCCCTATATGGCGCCAGTCTTTGCTTCTGTCATCACATGGCATTTTCTATAGGTCTCTCTGTCTTAAAAGTGCTCCAGGCTAGGTGTACTGGCTGATACCTATAATCTGAACATGTTGGGAGGCTGAGGGAGGGGGATTGCTTGAGTCCAGGAGTTGGATACAGCCAAAGCAAGGGAGAGACTCTGTCTCTATAAAATATAGAAAAATTAGCCAGGTGTGGTGACACATGCCTGCAGTCCCATCTACTGGGGAGGGTAAGGCAGAAGGAACATTTGAGCCCAGGTGCTGAGGTTGCAGTACGTTATGATGATGCCACTATACTCTAACCTGAGAGACAGAGCAAGACCCTGTCTCAAGTAAATTTGGCATGGTGGTACATGCCTGTCATCCTGGCCCCTGTGGAGGATGAGGCAAGAGAGGTATTTAAGCTCAGGAGTTCAAGGTCATTCTTTTTTGTTTTGTTTTGTTTTTTTGAGACAGAGCCTCAAGCTGTCCCCCTGGGTAGAGTGCTATGGCATCAC